CAAGCCGGGTTGTCATTTTGTGACTGCTCGGCTCACTCGGATAGGTGATCGTTAATTATTTGCGAAGAAAAGGGCTGCACAATTGAACCTTTGGCTCATGAAGCCCGTTCGGTTTTGCCGCCAGAGAAGGAGTCGGCATACGGTTGGTTGGGTGCGCTTGTTTAAGTTAACTCTGTTTTGAAGGACAACGAATCAATCAACCATTGGGAGAGGTCTGCCTGGTTTGAGACGTATCCAGATGAGACATATCCACACTGTTGCTTGTCCCAAATTGTTCAGTGGCCTCCCAATCCATTTCTGTTCAAGCAAAAAGGGGTCCCGATGCTTGTGTCTCCCTACGTCCCCGTGTAAGCTTATCGAGTTCATATTTAGACAAGTCTTGACAGCGTGCGGTTCAGTCGAAATATCCAAGGGTGGATGTCTCAAAATAGGACACCCTCCCCCTTTTTTCGGTTTCAATCGGAAGCCCGAAACCAACCCTAACTTTAGACGCACTCCCACTTTAACCGCACAAACAAGGGACGCAACCACAGCTCAATGTCCAATGTCCTTTGGCGGAACTTTTTCGCCGTGGCTCACGTGGCGCCAAGTAAGCCCTTCACAACACGACCAACCCCTCAAAATCTTCGAGCTTCTCGCTTACACCAGATTGAGCAAAAGCAAAATCACCCGGGGTAGGCATTGGACATGATCAAGTGTAGTATCTTATATATATATATATATGTACATACATATTTTCCTGACAACCTTTCATGCCTCAATTGACATGTCAGGAGACCGGCTGGGTGGTGGGCGTGGATGGCGGCACCGGCACCGGTTTGAGTTCGATCGATACACGCCAAATGCAAAACACCTGCAATGAAGGGTTAGGGGATCCTCCTCGAATCAAATCGGATGAAATCTGAAGAATCTGATGGAATCTGATGAAATCTGATGAAACCATATTTTGTTCACATGTTGATCAGGTTTGGTCAGATAATTTTTGCGTTGGGAAGGGACACACAGATCTTTGCACTTGACACCTGGAGCTGGCGGTGCCATGGCAAGACCTTACAGGAAGCCGCCGTCGGCTCGTGTCCGGGTGACACCACCTGGATCGCCAGGTGCTGCTTCGCTTTTTTTTCCATCCACTTTGCCCCAACTAGTCAGCGACAGGGACTGGACAAAAAGCAGCAACTTGGCCATCTGGGCATTTTGTTTTTCCTTTTTGTTGGGTCCCTCGCTAAAGGTGGTCAAAACGGGTTCCCTGTTCTACCAGAGTGAGAACAATTGGATTGGAGCATCTTTCCTGGACCTCTCCTCAGATCCCTCAAAATGCTTGGCAAAGGCTAGCTTTATATATAGATATACAGAAATATATCTATGCATGTCTGATGTCCACCACAGGTGTACCAATTGACGTTCACACCCACTCAGAGATTCTCTTGAAACCCACAATAAAGGAGCAACGTGTCCTTGGCAATAAGGAAGTGGCTGGAAAGAACCCACTGAATTCCCGGAAACGTGCATCAGCCGGCTCTTCCACGTAAGGAACACTCATTCCCTCGGCGCGGAACGGCTTGATCTTCGGGGCAGTTTGGTTAGGCTTCAAAGTCGCCGGTGCCTGCGAAGCAAAATTCCGAACAGGCCGGCGAACGTGTCCATTTCTTCTTGGCGCGCAACGGCAACCCCTTTGCCAAAGGAAGCACCGAAGAAATGATCCGTTGTTGGGTCCGTTACCTGTTCGGGTTGAAGCTGGGTCCGGGAGGAATCGCTAAGTTGTGGGATCTCCCACCAACTAACCGTTGAACCAGACAGGGGTTGGACCAGCTTCCCTTTAAAGTGACCCCCTGTCAGGTTCCATGCTATTTGGTGGGAGGGTATTTTTCGGTGAACTCCTTGGTTGAGCCTTAGTAACCCTTGAGCCTATTTGCATTTCAATCGGGGGCCCCTAAATGGGGCCATTTGCCAGAGAATGCTTTTCACGCCGTTTCTCTTTCGTCTTGGTCCAGAAGGGTCCCCATTGTTTGAGTGGTTTTTGAAGGGACGCATAAAGAAAACAAACACCATCATGGGTTGGGTCCCCCAAGAGACGCAAGACTCCAGTTCGCGGTCAGATCCATCCGATGGCAGGCATCAGGCCAGAGCGCAGCAACGAGTGGCGGAGGCAAATCGGCAAAGCAGTGCCGTTGTTTTTGTTTTCCCTGCCGGGAAGGCAGGGAATCTGAAACAAAATGGGATCTCAGTTGAGTTCATGGACATACTGGTTTGAGGTTTGGACAATTTTAGAGAACAGAAGGTGAAGTTTGCTTTTTGGTCAATCCACTCGATGGCAAGTGAGCTTGTTCAAGCAACAAGGGACGGAGGCAGTTTAAACCAGGGGTTGGCCTTTTCCTGGTTCTATTGGCACCGGCGAATTCAGTGGCGCCAACATTAGATCCTGGGTGTTTGGTTGGCAAAAAGGGCTCCCGAATTCTTTTCCCTTGGGCCCCAAGACCTTACATATTTTCGGGCCTTGGACCCCAAAGAACCTCAAATCATAGGGTCTTGGGACCCTAGGGTTTGGGGTTTCTAAAATTTCCCCGTTTCGGTTGATTCCAGTACCACCTTTATGGACATGTTGAGATGTTGCTTTGGATGGGTTGGATGCTTAGCAGATCTATGTAACCAAGCCTGGAAGCGGTCATTGGGCAAACGCGAAGCGGCAAGCAACAAAGGAGTGAGGCGTCCGATCCGTCCAGTCCCCAAATCCAACTGAACAACCATGCCAGCAGTGTGGTTTACAGACGAGGCTTAGGAGTGCATGGCAAGAATAATTAGTGTCCAATTGACATGGAACCTGACAGGGGGTTCCCTTAAAAGGAAGCGGTCTTCCAGGACCTGTCGGTGAATTGGTGGGAGTTTGCTTCTCCTTGAGATACAAAGAGCCGATGCTCTTTCTGCCTCCAAAGTGCCTCGGTTGGGAAGGGTCCAACCGAGTTCGCAAGAAGAAACTTCCGAGGCTATGGGTATCCTGCACATGGTTTGAATCCGAACTTCAAGGGAATCTCACGCTTTACAGTACGATGCCATTGGGTTTTGGTGAAACAACAGAACCCTTTAATTGTCCAAGCAGCACACCACAGCTTTGTTTGCCAGACCTCAACTGGTGGCTTGGTCTTTTTGAGTCAGCTTGCTGGGGAGGAGCTATTCCATTGGCTGGGGCCTGAAAGCCTTGCGCTTTCAATCCTTTCCGGGAAAGCGCAGACTTCCGGGCGAGTCCTTCTGTGGGGGGACCCCAAGAATGGCACCGGTGTCCGTTTGGTTTCCCTTGAACAACTGACTATTTAGAAGGGTATCCTCAAAAAAGACGAGCGACGCAAGCTCTCTGAATTTCTGGGGGTTGCCCAGTTTGCCATTTGAGTGGTAAACTCAATTGTTTGGGTGAGAGGAAAGGTAATGGCCCTCGATGGGTCCAAAGTTGGGCAATAGCTACTAGAACTTTACATGCATTTGAAGATCCTGACTTGATTTGGTGTTCAAGTCCCCCAGAACCCGCATGACCATTCTTTAGGCCTCGTAGTCTTTCTTGTTTTTTGACTACCCGCTCAGGCCCACGCTGATCAACATCCGAGCCTTCCTGGGATCAGACAAGGAGGAGAAAGGCCCTCCATGACCCCGAAGTCAATGTGTACCATCTCGTTCGTTTGAAATGAAGATGGTGGACCGTATTTACGTCTGGGGCATTGAGCATGGACCCAGCCGTTCTTTCAAGCTCTCGCGGCTTTAGCTCGAGGCTCGGTGTTTAGATCGCGCCTTAGCCCGGTGCTTCACAGCGCTTCGCAGCGGAGACCTGTCTCAGCTCCGGAGCGGATTCGCTTTGATCCCGGATCCCGGATCCCACTTCGCGGGGCGAAAGGAGCAAAAAAAAGGAGCGGAGAAGAAATCCAGTGACGCCTTTTGGTGGTTGGCTGCATATTTTGAGTGATTTTGTTTGTTTTTTTGTTTAATCAACTAGTTAACTGGGAAAGGTTTGTTTGTTTTTGGTTTGTTTTTTGGCGTTTTGTTTTTGTTAGCAACTCATCAACTGGGAAAGGTTGAGGAAGGTTTGGGGAATCGCCATGTGGATTTGCAGAGCACGGTCACTCTCCTCGATTGCTTTCTGGACATTGAGACTTTGGCCCCTTGCAGCTGCTGGAAACGGATTCCGGGAAGCCTTTGCCGGGGATGCCCTGCATTGGGACAGGGGTCCCTATATTTCCCTTTTTGGTGGTTTTAAACATCACCTTTTTGGTCCATGAAAGGTGAGTATCCCTTGTTGGGGGTGATGTTTTAAGGGGAAATATAGGGAGCCCTGTGGGAACCACCCAATTTTGCCTGACTTTGGAGGTACTCATAGCTTCCTAGTTGAGAGTATGGAGCTAGGTCTTGGGACCTGTTACCTTCAAGGCCTTCGCATGCTTGCGCGAATTCCTCAGCTAGATCCCTTTCCACCGAAGCGGAACTATGTGTAGGGTATATTGGAATGTGCTTGACCAATTACCCAAACACTGTGCCTTCTCGTTGTTTCTACGCGTGACTGTTCAGATGTTATTGGTCGTGCAAGTTTACTGCCCCTAGTAAGAACTGCTGCAGTGGCTTTCAGCAGTTTGGGCAGCTCATTCCGGCGGGGATTGAGTATGATCAAAGACAGAGCATGCAAGCACCCGGATCCCAGAGAATCGAGGATTCCCACCTTTGGCTAGGAGTCAGCCAAACTTTTGTGGGCATGCGGATGAAGAAAGGTCTAAGCTACTTTGGATTGCCTGGTGCCAGCAAACAGCCTTGAACAGCTTGCTTCTCAGGCAGAGGTCTCACCAGCAACTTTGCAGCTTCGAAATCTGGCAAGCAAACAGTGAACCAGTACTGTACCACTTGTCAGTCAGACCAAGCTGGCTTTGTCATGCTTGGTTTGTTGCCGTATTTCTTTCTCAGAAGTATGGTGTTTTGGGAACTCCCCACGTGCGCGAAGCTGAGCCTGGGCCTTTGGTGCGAAAGATGCAATGGAGCACACTCAGGACAGGGAGTCTGAGTTCAACAGGGAGTTCAACCGGAGTGAGTCTGAGTTCAACTTGCTGGTTCTCAGCAGGGAATGAGGGAACAAACCATCCCTTGTGGTTTCCTGAAAGGGAATCCCCAAAACCGGTTCATTCCCAACCCGGACTCGTTGTCATTCCCTGCCTATCGCACCCAGCAAGCCAACAGTTGCTCGGCGAGGCCTGCTGTGGAGTCCTCCAGGAACCCACTGACTGCCAGCTGACTGCGGTTTCCTTTTCAAAAAACCGGTACCAAAATGGAACCTTGGTAAGTGGAAAGATGGACCAAAACCTGCGTAACCCCTCCTGTTTAATTTTGAGCCACACCCATTTTAGCAGTGTACCAACACACTCATTTGCTGATTGCTTTTTTTCTTTGCAAGATAGTACTTTCATTCGTTCCACAAGATGCCAAAATACACGCTTTTCTTTGTAAAATGAGTTGAGTGATAAGGTGAGCCACAATCAAAACCCGGGTAAACAAATGAAGGTTAGTAAGGGACAATCCCAACCATAAATAGCTGCGGATATCCGCCTTCTGATTTTTTTACATGGCTCTGGGTAGACCATTTTAATACCGGGTTGATTATGACTCATTTGGAGAACCACCCTTGTCATATTGTTGAGGGGTCGAATGACGGGTTTTCGAGCCGAAGGCTAAATGAAGAGAAAGAGAAAGAGAAGGGAATGAACCCTTAGATTTGTGGTTCCCTATTTGGGTTTGTTGTGCGGAAAGCGCCAAAATGCGAGGTTTCTTTTTTGTTTCCCTTACGACTGTCCCTAACATGGGGTAGTTTCAAAAGAGACCCATGTTCCCTTCAAGCATCAACTTGTCGGGTTGTTTTAAAGGGAAACCAAGCGACCAGGACACAAGCCCAGTTGCGTCAAGATAGCTGAGACCCCAGAAAATCTGGATTCCCTGCTAATTTCCCGTTAAACCCTCAAGGCAACACATGCCTTTTACACAGAACCGCCCAGCTTGCTCAGCTTCAGTCCCCCTTTGCTCTGGCCCACGGACATCGATCGAAGGAGTCGGAACGCCTGCGGACGCATCTCCGAGAGGCGAAGTAGTTGGACGGCGGGTTGCCAATGTTTGGATTCGGAGTTGACCTTTGTAGAGGGTACATGGGAAACCCCTCCAGACCACCAAACCACCGGGCTCCAAACCTCCAGTTGGGGAAGCTGACTGTGAATCATCCCCAGCGCCCATGAATTAAAGATTGACTACCTTGCGAGCCACCTCAAGAGGTGTTGACGTACCATCAATCGACGTGCTGCGTTTGGACCATTTGAGCGGTTAATTAAACGTTCAGAGTTCAGACTTGTTGGGTCAATCCACTCATGAAGTGAGATTATGTCGAAAGAGCCCCCGCTTGAACTTTCCGCCCAATTGCTTAAACCATGTGTTCTTCAAGCTTGCAGTTTCCCTTTAAAGGGTCTGACACTCAGTGTCGTCTGGGCAAGGCCAGGTCGGCAACGTGTTTTGTTTTGTCCAGACATATCCAGGCCTTCTAGAAAGCATGGTGGTAACTGTGCTTATGTCAGTGCTAAATACATACAAACGTGTTTGTTTTTCCAAAGAGAACAAACCGGCTTTTCTTGCCAGACCTGAACGCAACACTCAGTTCTGACTCCCGCGGCGGAAGATAATCAATGCTTCTGGGCAGATCAATCGCCACCTCACAAAGAGTTTTGAGTTTGCAACCGAACACTCGGAGGTTTCCCGTATGTTCCATTGGCGAATTATGATGATTCACGCGGAGCAGGTTTTGACTGCTTGAAGGGTTAGGGGCCTAAGAATCCTTAGGGGATGGACTTTGAGGGTTCTGGGCAAGTCCGCACTGCAGCCACACCGACGCGAGCGAGCCATGGCTAGAGGCTTGTCACATCAGTAGAAACAACAAGATGCCGCGATTTGCCTTTGGACACCCCGCCCATGGGATGTAGGTGTGCCCCCATAGACAGAGGAGTTGTTTTCTGTATAGAGTTTGAAAAGGAGTCTTAAAGGAACCCAGGCCCAGCGAGAAACTGCACCCATCTTAGGAATCAGTTCTTACCTGTTGATGTGGCAAACCTAGAACTTGTAGGCTTCCTCATCATTCTAGTCACAGCCTGAAAGGTGTTCACTCTTTTTGCCGGTCAACTAAGCAGGTCTTTGCTGGTTTTTGAACACAACAGGACTGAAACACCACACGTGGGCCAGCTGAACACCACCTGCAGAAAGCACAAGTAACAGTAAACCACGTTTAAGTTCTTAAGCGTACCACATCACCTTTGCCCTTTGCAACGAGCAACACATGGGAAAGCACACACACCAAAAAATCACTCACTCACTCACTCACTCACTCACTCACTCACTCACTCACTCACTCACTCACTCACTCACTCACTCACTCACTCACTCACTCACTCACTCACTCACTCACACACACACACACATTCATACACACACACACATTCACACGCACAGATTCACACACACATTCACACATACAGACCACACACACAGACACAAAACGACGAGGGCCAGAAAGGAGCACCAGCAGCTGACATCGCAGCATGGGTGATGGCACTGGACGTGGAGGGCCTGGCGGGGCCGTGCCTTCTGGAGTTCCTGCTCACGGAGCAAGGCCTGCGATCTGTTGGGTCTGGCTGTAGCCTCCCCATGCTCTTCAGGGATTTTCGATTTAAAAAAAAAAAAATGGCCAAGAAATTGCCCAGCATGGCCAAAAAATGGCCCCAAAATTCTGGAACATAGGTGGGTTCTAAAGAGAGCGCTGGGTGAGGAGAATGGGGAATCAAACCTTAGAGTTGGGTGTGTCCTGCGATAGGATTCGGAGCTCTTGTTGGCTGGGTTTCAAGGAGAAGCAAAAGGACACCAACCCAGGGGTCAATTTGGAGAAACACCCAACTTGGCTCGGCTTTTTGATGGGTGCCCCTTTTGCGGGTGTGCAAACAAGGGATGGATCATGTTTGGCTTTTCCAGGCCTTTTGTTGACACGGCGGCAAATTATGAGTGCGGACCGGTTTTTCGTCCCGGATCAAGTTAGCTAAAATCGCTTTGGGGGCTGAAGCCAGGGGACAGGTTTCAACACCTGTTGGTGTGATTTCCCTCGGAAGGAGGTTCACCAGACAGATGGGGTAGAACGGTTTGCCTTTAGGGAGACGATGGGGTATTTTGGCATGGGTTTTGTCACGTTGTAGGGTTGGGCACACAGTTTTTTTTTGCTAAAGCCCAGCAGTGGTCCCCTTTGAAGGGCAGAGTCCAGGAGATTGTTTGAAGCAGTGGCTCAAAACCTGGATTCAACAAGGGGTTGGCAACCGACCCTGACAGCACATCTTGATGCTGATTTGTTTGAAAGGAGTTGATGAATCGGGTGTGTGTGTGTGTGTGTTCGTTTTAGAGGGCATTTCATACCTGGACAAAGCATCAGCGAGCACGGATAATTTTCTTGCCACGCCCGGAGAACATTCCTTGAGCCGAGACTTGGGGATGCGAGCAAGTGGACTCACCAAAGGGGTCTCCAGTTTTGTTAAAGGGTCTCTAGGTCCCCCAGTAGTGCCCTTTTACACTTTTTTGGGGGAGGGGTGCGCTACTAAAATAAACTACAGAACAGAAAAGGTGCCCTTATTCTAACCTCTCTACTGCAGGACCTAGGTCTAGACCTCCAGTGGTTGGCATTTCTCAATTGTCTGTTCCATCTTTAAAAGCGAACACTCCAACAGGAAGGGCGGGACTTGTTTCCCATGGAATTTCGGAGGTCTTGGGAGTCTGAAAAGCATCCCTCTACCGCCATCGTAGAGGTGGGACATATGACTCCGCCTTTCAGCACCACAAGGGACCCACCCATTTGAGGGAGACATGGGTGCTTTTCCATCGATACCGGGCCCCATTTCTTAACGGCACATACCATTGAAGGATTTTGTGTGTGTGTGTGTGTGTCCTTGTTTTATGTCTTTTTTTGCAGAAGGAGACACATTTGTCCCTGGAATCTCCTGCTGATCCTGCAAACATGGCGTCATTAGGCCCAAACAGCGTCGCGACTTCATGTTTAAAGTGTCAGAAGGAGACTTCAGGTACGTACCAGGGGCGATTTGCCTTTTGACTTTGGTTGCTGTGAGCCGTTTGCAGCAGAAAAGCAAAAGGCAAGGGCAAAGGTAGACAATTGGTTTGCCATCCGTTTTCCGTGGATCTCAATTTCCCCTCTAGGCAACCTGCGATGTTCTTGTTCTTTTGTTTCAGGATGGTTAGTTTCTTACCAACAGGGGCACGGATTGTCTGGGTGTGTTTTTCCTGTAGAGGCCCCATACCCTGGAGAACTCGCGCTGGCAGGATGGCAGAGGCCCCTGCATTGGAACGCCTCCTGGTTCTTGTCGATGTTCGAACTGCACCTTGGCACAGACGGCCATGCATCGTCGTCCAGGGGCCTGTTTGGAAGGGCCGGATGCGGATGATGTTAGGTTTTTCTACGCACCATTTAACAGTTTGTTTGCTTTCGAGGGAGGTGGAACCAAGAAGGAAACACCATTTGCGGAATCTGGAATCTCTAACTCCAAGCAAACAAAGGCGACCTTTTTGAGCCAAGAACGGAGGCCACGGGAATGAAATCAGAAAGGAAAGCAGTGGAGATAATTCAGGAAACAACGATTCCCATGACTTTGAGTACGCCCAGATCATTGGGCTACGCAAAGGTTGGCTCCCTTTTAACTTTTGTTCCACTCCCTGAGTTTCACATTCTGCCTTTGGGGAGCCCTTTTAGTAAACGAAAGGACTTGTTTGGCCAATCTACTGGAAAGACCGAATCAAGTTGAACATCCAAGGATACTTCCATGATTTGGCTCTGACAGATTCCGTTTTCTGCCCAGCAGCAGGGACCCCTTTTGGGCATATGGAACAGTGAAAACCCATGGGTTTAAACGCGGGCTATCTCCCCACCCGTAGGCACCACCCCAAGATTCCAGGGGTTGAAATTCCTGGGGTCCAAAGTAGTTGCCCAACAAATGGTTCAGCACGTCACCTTACCTTTGAAATTGTGTGATATGTTTAAGGGTAGACCAACTATTGAAGCAGAATCTAAGCGAATGCATATATATTTTTTCCAAAAAGTTAATCAAGAAACATGTACACACATTTGGTGTACCTCAGAGTCGGGGACAAGTAATAAGAGAGTTTGGGGAAGCCATCGCTGCCAGCCGCCGGAGGTTCCTCTTCGGTGAGCCCTGCGGGGCGCAGACGACGCCTTGCCTCAAGGACTTCAACGGCGCACCGCTGGAGCTGTCCATTCTGCGCCCCTCGGGTTCATGGAAACTATGAGGGCTCCAGACCTGTGTTTTGTCTTCTGTATTTTTTGTTTTTGTTTTTTTGGGGGGGGAGGGGGTTGTCCTTCAATTGTTGCGGGGTTCTCTTCATTTTGCTCTTCGTTGGGGATCCCTTCAAACTCAGCGAGCAAATGCGCCTGTCTTTCGGCTGGTCGCTGAGGTTTGGGGAAAAGGCCCTGGAATACAGGGCTTCAACCCAGGCCTCTAGTGAGGCTTTCAGATGTACGGACCCAAAACAGGGTGCTCTTAGATTAACCCCCCCCCGGTCTTGTCCACTGAAGGTGTGGGTAGAAGATACTCGCTTTGGCCAGTTAAAACATCAAGAGTAGAGGGCAAGCACTTTGTTTTGGGTAGTGTTCAGGTGGATAGCATAAGAACCTGACCTGTGTCCCTTTGAAGGAGGTCTTTGATGTCGGTTGCTCACTCATACAACATTAGGGTTGCTTGGCAGAAGGATTCCTTATGTTGGGTTTGTGAATGATAGTGATTTGCCCAGGTGTATGGTTCGTTTCACTGGTCACACTACGATATGCAAACATTGGGTGGCTGAGCTACACATGTCACATAGGTCCTTCTCCTTCAAAGGCCAACATATGGAAACAACATATACCTATATACATAATTAATATGGATGCCTATACATTGGTGCATATTGCTTGGCTGTTAGGACTTTAACTTTTTTGCCAACTAATGGGTTTTCCACTAAACCACTAAACGTTAAACTTTTAGCAGGGGAGCAGAAA